GGATCCCCTCCGATCAATATATACCATCCGGATCAATCTCTGTCTAGCATATAATGATAATTGTTTTCTTTGGCCATTAATTTAATTAGCAGAGCTCCTAGGGGAGATTAGTAATTAAATTAATCTTGAGTGTATAACCATCGTTTCAACTATTTGATCCATATTTTACAATTGACACCTAGGGGTGTACAACCATAAAATATGCTCAAATAAATTATCCACTCGGAGATCCACACCGGTACATAATGAATCCCTTCCTAGGGGTCGGTATCACCATATGTTACCTGCGGACCAACAATGGAGGCGATGGGTCTTTTCTTCAAAAAACCGTCACCCACTCAATCTTTTCGAAAAACAAGGTTTTATGTTAAGAAATATGCATGAACAATTTTAATGAGCGGCACTCCCTATTCTACATGTCATGTTATCACATATATATCAAATCATATTATATGCAATCATACAAAGCAATTAAGCTAGGCAACAAGCATAATAATAATAATAACCGTAATATTATGGTTCCATCCTAGAGAAAAGAAAAAATAAAGATTACTAAGAATAATCGAAACATATATCGATTCTTCATCTTGAATCTTCCCGGTTGTCCTTGAATTCTTCATCACGATCAAATTCTGGTTATCATAAAATTATTTTTCATGTTTTCTTGAAAAAATCTCAAAAAACTACAAAATCGTATACTGTCACGTTAGGTCCGGTCGACTGGTGACAGAGCAGTTATACTCAACCGGTCGACCACCTTACATTAATCGGTCGACCAGTGAGGTCGACCGGTGCTTGTGCGACAGCAACCCAGATTTTCAGAAATCAAAGCAGTTTTTCAATTTATTCAAAAAACACAAAATAATTTTATAAACTAAGGAAAATTAGATACCTGCATATCCTTCATCTTCAAGATCCATCTTCAAGATCCTTGATAAATTTACATAAAAATTCCTTTACCATTTTTCGGTTTACAAAATTTCTAATAAAGAAAATAAAATAAACCCTAACGGCAATTATAGGCCGCTTATCTAATTACATTGTAATTAACAAATTCCTATACAACCATTCTAAACTCTAAAGAACCATAACTGGTAAAAATTAAATAATAAATAATCATTGATAATTTATAAATAATAATCAATAATAATTATTTAATAACCATTCACCATATATTCATGATAACAACATAATATAGAAACCCTAGAGTGCCATCTCTCTAAAATATCAATTCAAGCATAAAAGAGATATTTTTAGATCACAAATCTATGTACATAGCATAATCATGAACAAATAACCATGGCTCTGATACCAATTGTTAGAAAATTAATGGCATCGAGTGCGCAGCGGAATTTAAAAA